GCTCACAATTGTCCTTTCACTACTTTAGCGGTTGTGATACAACTTCATCTGTTCAAGGTAAGGTAAACCGTCATTTAACGAAACTTGGAAAAAGATGCCATGTATGATTCCAGTATTCTAGAGAATCTGTAGGAGATGTTAGTGGAACAGACACTAGAACAGGAGACAACAACTAGGTTGTTGCTATGTACTGCGGCACATTTGATGGTAAGAAGGTAGATGATGCAAGGTGATACCTATTTACAACTGGGGAAAGGCAATACCCCCCAACATTCAAACGATCTGTACTACAATCCAGGAAGTGGTAAAACTGTCTAGATGCCCTCAGAGTTGAACAGGATCCAGTTAATTGGGGATGGATGAAGGACGACAACAAATTTACTCCAGTTTGGAGCTCTCTACCGAATTTTTAAATGTCACCAAGGTGTTAACTCGTTGTGAACACACAAACAAGTAGCGGATCCAAAGGGGTTCAGGGGGTTCGGACGAACCTCCCTCTGTGAAGAAACGTAACAAAATACTACTGGGTCCTGGCTTACAGAATTCATGCTAACTAGATGTGGATCCAAACCTTCGCCCACTTCGCCCAGGCGAAGGCCAGGGTGAGAAATCAAAATAAAATGTTGACCATTTTTTCCAACAATCATACTTACTTTCCTTGACACTTATTTTGAACATTATCATTAGGAAAATGTTTAAATCCACGCTATCCTATACCTTACACTTTTACACTGATACAAGAGAGAGGCACATTCCCAATACCTTATGGTCTTCCACTTCTAGCGCATGATATATGCATAGTAAACGTTATGTAACCACTAATAATACTCAGGTCCAGTCTTGGCGTAGGTATGGGCAGTGCAGTATTGGGGGCTCGTTTAATAGGTCTAATCTGGTCTAATGATCTAAGAATATAACTTTAAAAAATCCTATTTAAACTTTAAAAGGACCCTTCAATAATATTATGTTTTAGAGGCTATAATATTGATTATATTCATTACAATTTACCTATTACCAATTTCCCACACGCTGCAAGTGAAAAAACCCCAGGCAAAACAAGCCCTTACATACGATGCACTAATGTACTTTTTGAAATCACATTTCTAAAGCAATAACATATCGTCACGCACATTTGTGTTTGTGGTATTTTAAAGTTGGTTCAACTATTATTGTGTATGTTTTTAAATACTTCAGATCATCATAACTTCACGAATACATTTTATATTTACTTCACTGCAAGTAGGTTGATGAATGTTGTATTATTGAATGGTAATTGTTATCGTGATGGAATAGACAATACATGGATTTGCGTCAGGAGAATCAATTAGGGGGCCTATATGTATTTTGCCCAACCTGTCGTGAATATGTATTGAATAGGCCTACTCAGTGCGTGATGCACTAATGTACTTTTTGAAATCACATTTCTAAAGCAATGAAATATCGTCACGCACATTTGTGTTTGTGGTATTTTAGAGTTGCTTCAACTATTATTGTGTACGTTTTGAAACAATTCAGATCATCATAATTCACGAATACATTTTAGATTCACTTCACTGCAAGTAGGTTGATGACTGTTGTATTATTGAATGGTAATTGTTATTATCGTGATGGAATAGACAATACCTGGATTTCCGTCAGGAGAATCAATTAGGGGGGCCTATATGTATTTTGCCCAACCTGTGTGAATATGTATTGAATAGACCTACTCAGTGCGTGATGCACTAATATACTTTTTGAAATCACATTTCTAAAGCAATAAAATGATGCACTAATATACTTTTTGAAATCACATTTCTAAAGCAATAAATATCGTCACGCACATTTGTATTTGTGGTATTTTAAAGTTGGTTCCACTATTATTGTGTACGATTTTAAACACTTCAGATCATCATAACTTCATAAATACATTTTAGATTCACTTCACTGCAAGTAGCGCAGGTCGAGATGACTGTTCTATTATTAAATGGTAATTGTTATTATCGTGTTGGAATAAACAATACCTGGATTTGTGTCAGGAGAATCAATAAGGGGGGGGGGGCTATATGTGTAATTTTGCCCAACTTGTCTTGAAAATGTACTGAATAATCAGTGCGTGTGAAAGTTGTTCTCCAGTGGGACTCGAACACAGTTCTCCAGTTCCAGATCACTAGTCTGGCATCATACCTCTAGACCACCGAGCTTGCACCTGATGGCCAGGGCTGAATTCGAGCC